ACAAAGAAATATACGAAGATAAAAGACCACTTCAAAATAGTTGAAGTTTATGGAAATTCAGCTAAAGTAAAAACCTTGATATAATCAATTTTCTAAATTCAACTTTGGCAGAATAAAGACGCTGAAAAACCAGTCCAAGTCTTCTTTTACATTCAATACATCAAAAAAATTTATTGATAAAAAATATAAACATGAATAGAAAAGAAATATTTTAGGCTGTTCATTTGTACTTGCTCTATACCTGCTCGAAAAATCAGGAAGATCTGCTATTTATGAGCTTATATATGGGACAAGTGAACGTCTATCTGCTGCTGAGATCTAACTTGAAGCAAGAAAAACAGTACAAATGAAGACCCGATTTATGTAGTACCTACTAGATATATCAAACAAAAACTTAAAGTATTATGCCGGTTTTACACCCAACGGACAAAACACACACCCTAAAACAAAACTGAAACTTTTCGCAAACATTTTGAAGACTAGCGTGTTTTGTGACAGTTGAAGTTTTGTTTTTCGAGTCCCGCTCGGAAGCGGTAAACATCGGCTTCGACGTGTTTTGAAACTCAAGTTTGTTTAATTCAGTCAGTTGGTACAGAAAATATATATATACACTTACTTTTTTTTCCAAGGGCCGCAGTATAAACCAGCCACAACTGAGAATGATAAAATCTCTTTCTCTAAACATGTTGAGGGTTGGACGACAAAAAATCAGCGGAAAAGGGCCGAAAAAACAAAACGTTGTCCGCTTGATGGAAATAAGAGCTTTGGGTTTGTTTCAGTTTAGTTTTTGTTTTTCAGGTTTTAAAAAACACAGACAAGACACAAACTCGACAGTCTGTTTAGTAGTGGAAAACCGGCATTTAGGTATAATATATTTTACCTAAAAACACAACTTATGTAAAGAACGTAAAAAAAAATATTGTAGTATCTAGGATAAAAGGGCATCTCCCTTCGGTTAATTAAACCCAATCGTCTTCCAAAAAAGGTTCGGTGCTGTGATTATAACAATTACCGGTAAACTGTCGTTGACATTGACCTTCCATGGGTTTAGGTTCCTTGTACAAATAAATAATCCAATAATTCGTTCAACCGAATGTTATTTAAACGTGACGTGATCAATGATTTTCCTGAAATCCATGAACCTTTTTTGGAAGACGATTGGGTTTAATTAACCGAAGGGAGATGCCCTATTATCACACCCTATATGACAATATGTTGTGTTTTAAGGTAAAATGTATAACTAATACCGGTTTTCCACTAAACGGACTGTCGAGTTTGTGTTTTGTCTAACCTGAAAAACAAAAATTAAATTAGGCTCTCCAAACCACGTGATTTTTCAATATGGCGAGTGTGGACAATTTGACGTTTGTTTGTTTATCTTGAGTTTATTTGGAATATTTCCAAGCTAACTAAAGTTTACTTTGTCATAATATACTTTTTGAGATGCAGAGTGAATATTTAAAGATTTAAATGCAGGATGTGGGTGAACGGTTAGTTTGAAAAAATGTCCAGTTGACATTTTAACCCACAGTTTTCACAAATTTCACATCAATGAGTAAATGAAGGCCTACAAAAGCTTAGATTCTCACGAGTATTTTGAGTCTGGCTTAATTTTAGATGCAGGAACAGTGATAGTGAAAAATTTTCACGTTTCAATTGGAAAATTTTGAAACAGAGGGCAATGGAGAAAGCCTAACATCATCCTTGTTACCTTGTTGAAACTACTTCCACAATCAACTACAAGACATGTTTTTGGCATTTTTAATTAGAAGAAACACTAATGAAGTTCACAAAACAACTACAAAATGCACTTTAAAAAGTTTTAAATTCCATACTCTCATATACGGGATAATGAACTTCCGCCCACAACGCACTTTTTGACAGGTCGTTGGAATGCCTAATTGAAACGATCCAAAACTCTTGTTTCCATCAAGCGGACAACGTTTTGTTTTCTCGGCCCTTTTCCGATGGTTGTTTATGGTGTAACCCCAATGAAGTAGTAAGAAGGTTGGAATAGCCCTTTGCCTTTCTACTCAATACTCTATATTTGCGGCCAATATTAGAGTGAGAGATCCGTGAGATTTTCTTGCCCTTACTAGCGCCATCTCACTCAGGGTTAGAGTGCGAGATATAGGAGATCCAATAGATTTTTTGCCCTTACTAGCGCTATCTCATTCTGGAATCAATTGAATTATGCAAAGCCCATTCAAAAGTAAGTACGTCACCTACCTATACAACTGACTGACTTGAACAAACTCGAGTTCCAAAACACGTCGAAATCGGTGTTTACCGCTCCCGAGCGGGACCCGAAAAACAAAACTCCAACTGCCGCAAAACACGCTAGTTTTTGAAATGTTTTCGAAAAGTTTGAGTTTTGTTTTATTCAACACGAGTTTGTGTTTTGTCCGTTTGGTATAATACTTTAAGTTTTTGTTTGATATATCTAGTAGGTACTACATAAATGGGGTGTTCATTTGTACTGCTTTTCTTGCTTCAAGCAGATCTCAGCAGCAGATAGACGTTCACTTGTCCCATAACTCCCATATTATAAGCTCATAAATAGCAGCTCCCAGCAAATCTTCCTGATTTTTCGAGCAGGTAGAGCAAGTACAAATGAACAGCCTAAATATGTCTTTTCTATTCATGTTTTTATTTCCTATCAATAAAATTTTTTGATGTATTAATGTAAAAGAAGACTTGGACTGGTTTTTCAGCGTCTTTATTCTGCCAAAGTTGAATTTAGAAAATTGATTATGTCAAGGTTTTAACTTTAGCTGAATTTCCATAAACTTCAACTATTTTGAAGTGGTCTTTTATCTTCGTATATTTCTTTGTGAATATTAGTTCTGGATCGAGCAATTTCAAAATGGTATTACAATCTTGGACCACTTTGATCTCATACGACTTTTGTCCAAAATAGAACGTCGTACTGAAGACATGTTTTGGACGTCCAGCCGACGACAGTTTTAGCGACTTCTTACTAACGTCCTTCCTTATCATGTCGCATCAGTTTCTCATTAGTTTGTTAATAGTTGTTGTGTTTCAAATATTGACAATTTAGTGCTGTTATCTGTTATCGGTAGGTACCTAATATCAACATATTTTTAAAATTTAAATTAAAGTATAAACCCTGAATTATTCTCTAATCTTGAAAGTCTTTTCGACGTTTTGAGTTGACCTTTTTGCCATCTTAAGTTGGTTTTTCCGACGTCTCAAATCAATAGAGCGAGACCAACTTAGTCAGAAACAACTCTAAATTAGTTACATTTGAAAATTTCGATAAGAAAAAAAATCGAAAAAGGAAATCTCATTTTTGGCTCCGAACATTTTTTGGAATCTTGACATGCTTGACATAAGTAATTGCTCATATCTTCAATGATATTTGAGAAAATTGCCTACAATTATGCATCATTAGAAAGAGTATTAAATTCTCTATAATCCCTGCAAAATTGGTTTTTGTAACTTGTGAAGTTTCCGGGATATTGGCAACAAGCTATCCAACAATGTACAGCACAAGGTAGGTTCTTATTTGAAAAAAATACGTAAGGGTAGCTACCCCCTAAAGGGGGAAAGCGAGATGACTCAAAAAGTGCTTCATTTTGGTTCTCCATCCAATCCACCGATATGTATTTCAGACCTTTCTGACATTATTTTTTATCTAACAGATATTCTTGATTGCTACTTTTGAAATAGTCACTAGCTAAGTTTTCTTCAAAAGGGTTTTCATCATCTCTATCTCCCATAACAATAGAATCTTCAACATTAAATAGGTACCTTAGAAAATTCTTTATCAATTTCAATATCATCCCTTGACTTTTTTTGTATTTATTTCAGATTTTTTCGAAAACTATAACTTATAGATATTAACCAATAGACACATTAGTATTAAAAATTTCACCCAGTTGTAAAAGAAATGATACCTCATATAGACACTATATAATGATGTTTATTCATGTAAATTAATATTTATGTCTGTTCATATAATAATTTGCTGGTTCCGCCCAATTAATAAATTAACAATTCAAAACATCGTTTAAAAAAAATGATTGTCGCAAATAACGAACTATTGGCCTTCGGTCAATTATCACAAAAATAACTTGAAGAAAAAAAAAGCCAAAACTACTGATAACAATTAATAAACAATTAACAATATCGTAGTACTTAGCTGTTATTGTCTAAAAACGATAAACAGATTCGTTGGGCACCTGATGAGGTCAATTCTCTACTGAACTCTTAGTTTTAATCTACGGGTAATTCAATCAACAGTTTGCTTATTAAAAATACGAAGCCAGGGAGTTCATTATGAAGCTAAGTTTATTTAAGACAAGTTGAAGTAAATGGCCGATGTCATTGTTCAATAACATTTGCTAAACTTTATATTGTTTCAACGAGATGTAAGTGTTATTTTTAGAAGTTTAATTATTAGCATGGAATTGTTTTAATTAAAGTCAGACAATGCATGATGTTGATGTTCCTGAATCAAATATTGATTTTTATATGGTTTGATTGCATGTTATTTTTTTGCTTTATGCACTTTTAACTATGATATTCACTAGAAGATTTAATTTTTCTACTTCTAATGTGATATAAGAAACAAGTTAATTGTTTTTCAAAAAATACCTTGTTTCCATCAGAGATGAGAAAAAAGACTAAATATTCAAATAACAAAGAAGTACATTTTTCTTTATTAGCAGATATGAAAAAATATCAAACTGCTTATTCAGGAAATATGACCTAGGTTATCTTCCGCTGGAATAAATAATGATTGTATTAACTTTGAACATAGAATTCAGCATATATTTCTACAATCAGGTACTTTTTATTTTAATTCAATAAGCATCCTTTATCCTGAAATATTGATTCCTTAATTCTTTCGGAATTGAATGGACTATATAGGTACTCCTTCAAGTAGAAATATCATCACATCACAATGATCCTCAACATTTACCATTAACTCAAAATCTATACTTATCACTATTATCCTGTCATTATTGTTTCAGATTACCATCAGAAATAAAATGTATCCAAAAAAATCTCTAAAAAAATGCGCAGTCCTGTGTGGTTGTTCCTCCTTTCTATTAGTATGCGGTATAGTAATAATGTGTTTCAAAACCCTCATTTACAAATCGATTCTGAACAAAATACTAGTCCTACAAGCTGGCACGCAAACTTTCGATCTCTGGAAACAAAACCCGATTCCTCTAAGTCTCAAGCTGCACTTGTTCAACTGGACCAACGCAGCTGATATTTATAACAGGTAAAAATTTTCAGATTTTCATTAGTGAGTGATTATTACAATTTTTAATCAGACGTTGTTTGGTACTAGTTCTATAAAGCCGCACTTTCAAGAGATTGGTCCGTATGTGTTTGATGAAACCAAAGAAAAAGTTAATATAACGTGGAATGAGCATAATAATACAGTGTCGTTTTATCATTTGAAAAAATGGTGGTTCAATCAAGAGAAGAGTAATGGAACATTGAATGATGCTATTACTTCTGTTAATCCTGTAGCATTGGTAAGAAAGCTTTATTTTTTGAAAGAGAAAGATGTTAGTGGGATATTTTTCAGACCAGCTCAGTGGTTGGTAAAAACTGGAGTTTCATCTTTAAGCAAGCAATTAATGTATTATTTGGTTCAATGGCAACTGCTGCTTATTCCACACATTCCGCTGGCGAAGTATTGTTTGATGGTGAGTAGAAAAGGTGCAAGAATTATGATTAATTAATTTTGTTTTAGGATATACGGATCCTCTTGTAACGATTGCCAATAAGTTGCCATCATTTGGAGCTTCATCTATGCCAGAGTATGATAAATTTGGATGGTTTTATACAGTAAGTTGACCACAAAGAAATTCTTGTAAGAGAGGCTTTCAAGAGACCTCAAAGCTTCTAGTAGAAGAAAGCTAAAAGTGTCATAGTCTAGAGCCATTTCTATAAAATATTAACTTAGAAATTCCTGCATATATAATAATGGTACTCCTTGCTCTTACCTGACCATTTTCTGTAATTTATAGAGCTGTTTTAGTTCATTGGGAAAGCACCAAATGGAAACAGAATTGATTTGATTCGTTGACCAGTTTCAATATTCAATTTTTGAATATTCCCGGCTCTTGAATCAAGTACCTACTACTACTACTACTACTACTACTACTACTCTACTCCGTAGCACTACAACCCAGGGTGGGTCTTAGCTGCCTTGACTATCTGCCTCCATTTGGAACGGTTCTGGGTAATTTCTTTCCATTCCTATAGTGATCTATTCCAAGGATGGCTAGATCGTTAATGATGTTATCTCAACATCTAAACCTAGGTCTTCCCAGTGGTTTTTTTCCTTGTGGCGCTTCCTCCCATACTCTGAGCTTCCTTTTCGATCTTTATGAAGTTTTCCTTTAAACTGACCGTGTTTTCTCCTACTGCGCCTATGTCGTCCGCGTAGGCCAAAATAAGTTTGGGACCACCTGTACCAAAAACCTCTGCATTTACTAATGCTGTGCTTGCCGCCTTTTCTAGTGCAAGGCTAAAAAGTACTAGCATCTCCCTATTTTAGACATCTGTTAATGTAAAATGTTTGGCTGTATACTCTCGATTTTGACACGATTCTTTGCCCCCTCCAGGCACGCTCTACACTGGCGAATCAGCTTGTGCGGGATTCCAAATTCTTCTATAGCTTCCCACAACTTTACCCTCACAATACTGTCATAATATGCTTGTTCAAAGTCTATGAACAAAGTATGTAATTTTTTGTTAAACTCCCAACATTTCTCTAGAACAGTGGTTGTAACCGCAATGGCATGTTCTCGGATTATTTAGAAATGACTTTCACATTTGTTTGTACAAAAAAACCAACTTTATTAACTAAAATAAATACGAAATAAAGTTAAAGGTCAAGAACGAAACAGGTTGTACGAAAGTCTCTATTGAACTCGCCGAGAGGGCGAAAGGCAAGGGTCGCTGTAGATGGCTCTGGAGCGGCGCGGTGTTGCCGGTACGCTTCATTCCGCCCACCTTGAATAGATGTCATTCAACAGGATATATTCACCTTTAGACACATAAACAAAACGCTTTATGCTTAAATCTAGTTTATACATAGAGGAAGTACATACTACAGAACTATTACTTGTTTTGCCTATGTAATTGAACTTGATACATACACAATAATGAAATATTTATAGAAACAATTTTTTTATATATATTTTAATAGGCATTATATGGAAATGGAAAATTTTATAATAATTACCTACAATACAGAACATTATCATCAAGTGACAAACAACAACGAAAAATTGTTTAATCAACAATGGTTAACCTAAGCTCCTGAGTTTTAAATATTAAATAAAGGGCATAATGCAAAAAACAGAGAAAAAAAATAAAGAAACTCTTCACCATAATATCAGGAGCATTTTCAAAATGCTAAGTGGGTTAAATGTACGTATATTAGTCCGGAATTGGTAACGCACACACCTTTCGAACTGCGCGTGTGAAAGTACCTTTCGCGGATTTAACTGTCACTACCCGTACGACTCCATCCGCACCTGGATGAATGTTCACCACTCTGCCAACTGACCACTGCAATGGAGGAAGGTTGTCGTCGACTAATAAGACCATTTTCCCAATGGTCAAGTTATCTACTGGTGAAGCCCCTTTACCTGACCGCTGTTGGACTTCCGTCAGGTAGTCTTTTGACCAGCGCTTCCAAAAATGTTGCATTATTTGTACGAGATGCTGGTATCTGGTAAGACGTCCAGTCTTGACCTCACACAAGTCTGGTTCCGGCACCGCAATCAAAGAGCTTCCAATCAGAAAATGGCCGGGGGTCAATGGATTCAAGTCATCGGGATCGGTTGATAATGGCGATAGGGGACGGGAATTCAGACAGGCCTCTACCTGCACTATAATAGTATTGAACTCCTCATATGTCAAGGACGCCTTTCCGATTACTCGACGCAAATGATATTTGACCGCCTTGACTGCTGATTCCCAAATTCCGCCGAAGTGCGGGGATCGCGGTGGAATGAAATGCCAGTGTATGTTGTCGACAGCAAAAAAATCAGCAAACACGTTTTGATTTTTACTTTGATTAAAGAACGTCGTCAGTTCGCGACTGGCACCTACAAAATTGGTGCCATTGTCTGAATAAATATGCTGACATTTACCTCTTCGCGATGTGAAGCGCTTGAATGCATTAAGAAATGCATTGGTTGAAAGATCAACCACCAATTCCAGATGTAGAGCCTTCGTGAATAAACAAATAAAAACACATAAGTAAGCCTTGACCAGCTGCTTGCTTCGTGCTAACCCTACCTTAATGTAGAACGGGCCTGCATAGTCTACGGCACAGTTTAAGAAAGGCCTGGATGGAGTCACTCTTTTTTCTGGCAGTTGACCTAATAATGTACTAGCTGTAGTGGGTTTAACCTTAAAGCATACGACACACTCTTTGAGCACTCTACGAACCTCATTTCGTCCCGCGATTGGCCAAAAGCGTGTGCGTATATGCGCTAACAATGCTTGCGGTCCCGCATGTAGAAGCTTGCGATGCTCATAGGTAATCAAAAGCTTGGTGACGACATGACCTTTCGGTAGAATTATTGGATGCTTAAAATCATAATCGAGGTTGGAATGTTTCAATCTACCGCCCACCCTCAGCAGCCCATCGTTGTCTAAAAATGGATTTAAATTTTTTAGTTTACTTTTATTGCTAACCACAGTTTTGTTCATTAACAATTTTCTCTCCTCGAAAAAAACTTGAGTTTGAGCAAGCTTGAACAAACGTTTCATAGATAAATCAAGTTCTTGACAATTCAATGGACCAGTTTGAAATGGCATTTTCAGAGCATTATTTTTAAAGCGTAAAATATATGCAACTACTCTTTGTAGCTTTAAAAATGAAGAGAATTTGAGAAACAAAGATAAGTCGGGTTCAGTGGCAATCATAATTTTACTGGTAGTTTTTCTTTCAGGGGTTTCTGCAATTTTTATTGGCATGCTAGCTGGCCAGTCATTGAAAACACGTTCTAGCCATTCAGGACCGTGCCACCATATTTTGGAATCACTCAGTTCCAATGGGTTAATACCTCTGGATATAATATCCGCTGGGTTATCTTCAGAGCGAATGTGTCTCCAATTATTTTTGTCAGTCAACTCTTGGACCTCCGCTACCCGGTTTCCGACAAATGTTTTCCATTTGTATGGTTCGTCAAGGATCCATGTGAGAGTAATGCTGGAGTCACACCAAAAAAATAATTGGTCGATATGCAGGCTGAGCGATTTCATAGCGGCATTGCTTAATCTCGCACCCAGCAGTGCACCGCAAAGTTCTAACCGTGGTAGTGTTATAACTTTCAGTGGCGCTACTCTCGATTTAGCACATAGCAAGTTCGTGGAAATGACACCTCGAGTATCTACGGATCTGACATAAATGCAGGCTCCATAAGCCGTTTCAGACGCGTCGCAGAATGTATGCAATTCGATCCTTATCGGACTCCTGCAAATAACGTGGCGAGGTACTGAAATATTTTTCAAGGACTGCATTTGTTCTTGGTAGGTTTTCCAGGTGGTGTAAATCTGCAGTGGAACACTTTCATCCCAACCTAGCGATAGTTGCCATAGTTGTTGTAGCAGAATCTTTGCCCTAATTATTATTGGACCCATCAATCCAAGAGGGTCGAATATTTTCGAAATGAACGATAAAATCGTTCTTTTGGTTACATATTTAGATGTTACACAAATAGTTTGCAAATTGTAGAGAAAACTGTCATTCTGGCTATTCCAGACTAACCCCAAGGTTTTGGCTTCCTTATTTTCGGAAAACTCCAAATTTTCAATGTTCAAATTTTCTTGAATAATTGAGGTATGATTTGACCTCCATTTCCGAAGCTCAAATTGACCTTGGAATAATATTTCTGAAATTTCCCTCTTCAATTGTAGGGCCCCCTCGATGGTATCAGCGCCTGAGATGAGGTCATCAACGTAGAAGTCTTGTTTGATGATATTGCTTGCTTGGGGCTTCCTGGATAAATTTTCTTCAGCTAGTTGATGCAAGCACCGCACTGCCAAAAAAGGAGCGCAAGAGGTTCCATATGTGACAGTATTTAGGGTAAAGGTTGTCAATGGCAGTCTCTCATCACTTCTCCAAAGGATCGCTTGAAGATGGCGTTGACTAGTCTCAACATTTATCTGCCGATACATCTTTGCACAATCAGCGGTTATAACATACAGATGTTTTCGAAACCTCAGAAGAATTGAGAACAGATCTTGTTGAATGGTTGGTCCAGTCATTACCACGTCATTTAAGGACATTCCTGATTCCGTCTTGGCAGATGCGTCGAACACTACCCTTACCTTTGTTGTTGAAGAAGAATCTTTAAACACACAAGTATGTGGCAGATAGTTCAGCCCTGGCGAGTCAGAATTCACCTCGGACATGTGGCCAAGTGATTGGTACTCATCCATAAAAGCAACATATTGCGCCTTCAAGCTGGTGTTATTGTGCAACCTTTTTTCTAAGGCATTGAATCTTTTTAGCGCAATTTCCCTGGACTCGCCCAATCCTGTTATCGCATGCTTTAAAGGAAGCTGAACCGAAAATCTTCCATTTGCCTCACGTGTATGAGTGGATCGAAAGTTTTCCTCACAAGCCTTTTGTTCAGAAGACCACATTGGCCTCGTCTCACAATGCTCTACCTGCCAGAAACGTTCAAGTTGCTTTTGCAAATCCAAATTCAAAGAAAAATGACACATCGTCTTACTAGGATTATTGTCTATATTAGCAACTTGACCTGACAGGATCCAACCCAATTTAGTTTTCTGTGCTAATATTTGAGTATTGGCTA